AATGTTTCGTAAGAAATCAATGTGATGATGAACTTGAGGTTGTTGATCATGTATAAAAAATGCTATTGGGTAGGAGGGATCTTCTTGGATATGGACCTGTCTTCCAAATAAAATCAAAACATAATACTTTCCCAATTTAAAAGTTTGATCGTAAGAAATCAACTGTTTCAATTCTTGCTTTTTTATTGACGAGTTGACCAGGATTTTTGTCATCTTTATAATGTCTGCGGTAGCTAAGTAAAGGAGCAAATCTGGATAACCGAAAATTGACGTACAAAATTATTTGATTGTATGGCAAACTCAGTGGTAGCAAAAGAATTCGCCATTTGAAATTTCTTTTTGTACAGCTGTTTTATGTTCAAATTTAGCACTTTGCTTATCGAGGGCACTTGAGTCGATATGTGCCGAAATTGTAGGTTGTCGCTTAATTCCAACCATTTCCTTATCCAAACTATTCTTATTCAATGATATTCTGTCGTCAATATTCTCAAATTGTTTGTTCGGAATCATAACATTTGTTTGTTGCCTGTCCAAGTTAATGAAATTATTACCGATATAATGTATGAAATATATCGGCATTTCGTTTTGCAAATCCGACTCAAGAAGGTATACATCTCTCTCAAAACCATCGATTGTAGATTTCCCCTTTCCAGTTCGGATCTTTCAGTTGATAATATCGCCGTACTACGCCATGCTCTTTGTTCACATATTTGCCTTTTAATATAAACCGATACTGGTCGCATACAAAATCGTTTTTACATTCTTTGCTTAGAGCTTGAAAAAAATACCCTGATCCACCATTCGTTTCACCGCTGCGGAATGGGAAACGTTTTTTTGCACCTTCGAGATAAGTCCGGGCTTCTTCGAAACTTAATCGGCGATTTCCAACCTGAATTATTTCAATCTTTTCACTCATATTAATTAGTTATAATAATTTAGTTCCTATTGTTTGAATAAATATCAGACGAAATTTAATTTAACGACGAAAAGAACTAGTTGTATAGTAGTTTTTAGACATTGCCAATCGCAAAATTACGTGTGCCTACGTCACTGAAATCTAAACACAGTCAATCGTGCTTGCGATATACCTTCTTACCAATTCTAAAACTACCGACAGAAACCGATGCGACTTTTCCCCGAATTATGGAGATATATAATTAATTTTAGCTATATCCAATTGTTTATAGTTTTTTAAATGAACTTCACTGCGTTGGATTTCATCGCAGACCTAGATATTTTCCAACGGTGATATCTTAAAAATGATATGAGTGACGGGCCTGCAGCATTGCGAGTTGCGACAGAGCGGAGTCAATATTGCGAGCACAGCTAAGTTGTCGAATTTGCAAAAATACGAATCATAACAAATTATAATCGGGTTTTTATCACACATATTTATGTACGCGGATTGCCATGGAATTTTGAAATAGCAATGCTTTTATATTGTATCTACGCAGTCGCAGGTTAAATTGAACACAAATAAATTAACAATGCGAGACATTTATTAGTATTTTGAGTATTGTTATTGTACTAATTTAAATTGTGTCCTCTGGGATTTCGTAGCAGAGCTTGTGATTTTTCTAGCGGCCATGGCAAATTCGCATGCTCCTGCTGAATATCTCACATTTCATGTCCGCAGATTGCCGAGGTCTATAGAAGAAGTAAATCGTATTAAGTCGGCGCAATCGCGAGTTACACTGAACACATTTAAATTATGGTAACTGTCCTGAATCGATAGCGTAATACACGGGAATAGTAGGCTCTATTACGAACGCGTAAAAGCGGCCAGACTTTCAGAAGCAGTTGCATAGGAATCTCGATGTCCTATTCCGATTTTGAAACCTCCACCCCGATCCCCTCCTTTTTAATCCTGGCTGCGCCCCTGATTATTCATACTTTAAGCAATCATCAAAACTTAAGCTAACTCCAAATTTTGTTTGCCGTATTCAGCTAAAACTCTCGCGAATTTTACCAGTGCCAAAAAAGCAACTATCTATTTGTCATAAAATGAGTGACAGCACAAAACGGGGATCCCTCCTCATAACGCCGCGTCATGGCACAATTTTTCTCTTTTACTAAGTAATATCACAATTGCGAAATAGGAGTTTTTGATGGAAATTACGAAGAGATTTTTCAACAAAAATGCGCATTATAGGTGTTTTAGGCATGAATCTTGCGATATCGAACAATCTTACATTTGTTCACGCAAAGTCCAAGCATGGCAAGTGTATAAAAATGGAATGACAACTGGACTGTATTTGCTTGTGAAGATACTCGATAGGCCGTATATCTTCGAAAGTGACACAGCATGCGAGTCGGGTTTACTATGAAATAACTGCTGCCATTGCATTAAATAAATAGGTCGTTCGATTACGACCTCATGAAAGTTGTTGATCGGCGGTATGTTATTGTTACCATTCAGAGTTAGTGAAACATCCGCTAATATTTGAAAAATGGTATTAATGTTAACTAATAGCTTTTCCTAGACTAGACAAATAGAAGTGACCACGCAAGAAATATTAGATAGACTATCCATGCCAATGAATTTTCGTTAGAAAAAAAACATTATGTAGGCTGCGAAAATTTTGCCAAAATAGTTTTTAAATAATATACAAATGTGCTCCTTAGCAAGCAAACGTTTCCGCAGGGTTAGATTCTTGAGAAAAGTCTATTTGTGCTATAACTTATGGATCAGCAGATTAGATTTCGGAATAGGCTTCCCATCGTAAGGTCTCAATCAACTCGGGTATGATATTAGAGTCATACCACAATGAACAATATTGAAAACCTGAAGAAAACTTTTTATTAAATGGCTTTCACGTTTCAGAAAAATATAAATTTAATATGAGTGAAAAGATTGAAATAATTCAAGTTGGGAATCGCCGATTAATTTCGAAGAAGCCCGAACTTATCTTGAAGGTGCAAAAAACGTTTCTCATTCCGCAGCGGTGAAACTGAATGGTGGATCAGGGTATTATTTTCAAGCTCTAATCAAAGAATGTAAAAACGATTTTGTATGCGACCAGTATCGGTTTATATTGAAAGGAAGATATGTGAACAAAGAGCATGGCGTAGTACGGCGATATTATCAACTGAAGGATCCGACTGGAAAGGGGAAAGCTACAATTGACGGTTTTAAGAGAGATGTATACATTCTTGAGTCGGATTTGCAAAACGAAATGCCGATATATTTCATACATTATATTGGAAATAGTTCTTTACACGTTGATACGCGACATGGCAATGCACGTTGTCACACTGGAATATACTTGCCCATCTCGTGGTCGGATGAATATCAGTACTACCGCTCGCTTTTGCGTTGAGTAGCCTTTCCATAGTTTCTTTCAGTAATTATTAGTTCAGTTATTCTGAGGAGGGGTTGAAAAGTATAAGTAAGATATCAAACACTTGTATATCCTTACCATAAATAGCAATTTTGGCTGAGCACTAGCTCATAAGACGTTGTTAACACTTTCGATGCCAAGGACGTATATATACGTCATTTGGCGCCAAGCGTTCCGTGCCATCAATGCAAAATGACGTATATATACGTCATTCGAAAAGGAAAAAGTTTAATAGATAGAAGAAGGTCGAGTTCAGGTATTTGCCGTCTTTTTTTCTTCTCTCTCTCTCTCTTGTTGTCAAGTTGGGGGGAAAGAATGACGTCGTCAGCCAATCGCGTCATTCAAGAAATACCAAGATGGAAGGAGGGTCTGCCATGAAGTAAATTATCAACTTATTTAGCATGGCCGAGGTACATATTAGCCGCAAATTATCATCAAAATTTGTACGAGACCGACTGACGCCAACACACGGTTTCAACTTTTACGGTGAAATGATTGAAAGGTGTGAGGAGAGATGATAATATTATCAATCATGTTACGAAGATGTAGAAAAACATTACTAAACCGGGAAATAATTCGAATATTTTTATATGCATGATCGTCGTCTTATTGGCAGGACGATGAAATGATTCAAAATGTTGGTATTTTTGAACGTTTTCTTAATTTTTTATCATTTTTGGGTAACGGATTGACGGACATCTGCAACGAAAGCAAATTTTATCGTCCTGAGAGGTGAAATGTTACATTTTGAAATAATAAAGTGAGAAATTGATATTATTCGGAACATATATTTTTCTACTTGTCAGTGAGATATGATCCGAGATATAGTAATTTAGTGGGAAATATATTACCAAGAACACAGAGCCCCTCGTATGCTTTCAGCTCATATTGAATTACTTCCGTAGCTATTGTATAACCATAATTATAGCAAAATATGCAATCCTACGACTTTGTGTCGGATGAACAAGTTCAATAAGCAGCCATGGCGTACTGATTACGTAGCTACGCAATAGCGATCACGTGTCTGGCGCCACGAAGACGGGACTACGTGCAGTCGAGACGACTTGCGTAGCAAATTGTGTGAGATGACAATTTCGGAAAATCGTGTTCTTTACAGATCAACTGACGAATTTCGATGAAGCTTTAAACCTTTTTATTATGTCAACTTAGAGACACCGGATGCGTATAATGAATATTGAAATTGCATTTGGAAATACTTCATTTGCACGCCAATATTAGTTCAAATATCCACACAAATAAGTATTTGCTCGCTATAAATACCAGATTGAATGAAATGTTTGCCGAGGCAAGTAAAGACTTCGAATTTCATCGTTTACTGACTGAACCCACCAAATCTGGAAGCGCCCGACGAAGACTCAGGAGCAATACTAAGATACAAACGCACCTGAAATGTATTACGCATGTTTCGGTATTATCCGACACATCAGTCGTAGGTGAAAGAACTCACCTACACATGCGTATCTTGTCGGAATTGCTCTCTCATGCTATTATAACATAAGTTGGAGATAACTTGTCTTGATCTCTCATTGCCATAAAGATTCAATTCGAACATTTTATTCAGCAATCAGAATCATTTTATTATACGAAAATATCAATTTCGAACAAAGAAAACAAAATTGTTTTTCTAGCATGAAAATATATCCTTCATTCGCTATATATTCCAATAACATTAATAATGGCCAATTATTGTCACTCACAAGGATAACATATTGCAAAATAAACAAAGTAGTCACATTGCATATTCATACAACTGTAACACATATGTATCTCTATGACCTCGTCACCATTACAATACGTCGAAAGTATTGAAATCGGCCTCTTATCTTGCCATAGTAGTGCGAGTGATTCAACAACTGGATACATTTTCAATGTAAAAATAGATTATGGTAATCCAAACTTGGAACAACTTCCACCCGGCGTCACAAAAACTTCGAATTTAGTTTTGCAACTAATGGAAAGTCATCTGGATAGAGGATATCACGTATTTGTTGATAGGTATGTTGATTATTCGGTATTGATAAGACAAATTAGATAATTTACGTCTCGGCGCCATACTGCGTTCTATTTTAGATAACGAATCATTGTCGGATATATCAATCAATTGCATAAACTGTTTTATCACAACCAATTTTTAATAATATTCATTTTTAATTTAGACTCCATAACTCTGTCGCATTAGCCGAGGAATTGCAGCGAAGGAAAACATCGATAACGGGAACAGTCATGGCAAACCGGAAGGGACTTCCAGCAGAAATAAAAACAAAACTAAAGAAAGGGGAAATCATCTCACTACGAAAAGGACAATTACTCGCACTACTATGGCAAGATAAGAGGCCGATTTCAATACTTTCGACGTATTGTAATGGTGACGAGGTCATAGAGATACATATGTGTTACAGTTGTATGAATATGCAATGTGACTACTTTGTTTATTTTGCAATATGTTATCCTTGTGAGTGACAATAATTGGCCATTATTAATGTTATTGGAATATATAGCGAATGAAGGATATATTTTTATGCTAGTAAACGATTTTGTTTTCTTTGTCCAAATTTGATATTTTCGTATAATAAAATGATTCTGATTGCTGAATAAAATGTTCGAATTGAATCTTTATCGCAATGAGAGATCAAGACAAGTTATCATCAACTTATGTTATAATAGCATGAGAGAGCAATTCTGACAAGATACGCGTGTGTAGGTGAGTTCTTTCACCTACGACTGAAGTGTCGGAATGAACGATAACTGATGACACCGCTGGGTTCGCCCCTTTCCCGATGAATCAAAAACTAAATACGAGAGAGAATGAATAGGAGAGAACTCTCTCGTTTTCACCTTGGCACGGAACGGTAAAATTGAAAAAACTGATCTTGGCATCGAAAGTGTTAAATAGGTACGGTGCGGTACGTAACTCCAAGGAAGGCTAGACCTAGAATAATATGTCACAAACAACGATATTTTCTGGCTTGCATGAAATGTTTATGATTAATTTAATGACTCTACTTGACTATTCAGCAGACTTATACAACTATATAGGCCACAGCATATTTGGAAACATAAATTAATGGCTGTTTCTGTAATGCACGGTTGTGTGAAAGAGAAGAAAATATTCAATTTTATTAATGTCGGTTGGTCTAAATCTAAATTCATAGAGTCGACAAGAACCTGGGAAGCAATGATAAGTTATGCCGGAGTGGAAAGAAAAGGGGCATTGGAAACGATTGAGAGGTGAGAAATCAAGTTGTAGACAGACAGTTGACGTTTTAAAATATTGTCTATAGTTAGGGTTACCATATTTTTTTGACTTCAAAGCGGGACGCCTCCAAAAACACGACCCCTTAGCTGTGATCCTGTAACTTTAGTTTCCAATTTTACTACATAGGACTGAATTTAAAGCAATCCCGGCTGTCTTCATTGACCACATCGTCATCGAGAGTTCATGCGCTTATTCTCTGTCTAAATATCGGGTTCTGTTCGAAAAATAGAAAGGAATAGACGCTAACGATACAAAGGATCCTAGTTTAGATTCTTTTAGGTACAGCAAAAGGAATAAAGAAAAATGAAATAGTCTGCTGTTTTCAAGCATTGAAAATTTTCTTATTCGCCCAAGCATTCTTTTCTGTAGATAACACCTTCAAAAAGACGTTGTTCAATGTTACATTCGCGTGAACGTTCGAACAGAGCCAATTAGAAATGATTTTACATGTGATACGAAAACAACGAAACAAACAAAATTGCGCATTCACCTTCATTAAGTAGGCTAGCGTTGCGCTTTACAGCAACAACGGTAACGAGAACATGTTCGTGTATTATGCTGGATTACTGAACGCCAACGCCGGACTTTTGGCTGACTTGTCGGGACGGCGGGACAAAACGCTAAAAAGCGGGACAGTCCCGTCTAAAGCGGGACGTATGGTAAGCCTATCTATAGTCCATACTCATACTGTCATAGGGCATTTCAGACTGTGATATATATATAAATTTAGTGAAGATATAGTCTAGTACTGGTATGCAAACACTGCTGGACTGTAGTACATGCAATGAGCATATATACGCTCATTGAGTACATCAGATAATTTCAGACTGTGATATATCTAAATTTAGTGTAGATATAGTCTAGTACTGGTATGCAAACACTGCTGGACTGTAGTACATGCAATGAGCATATATACGCTCATTGAGTACATCAGATAATTTCAGACTGTGATATATCTAAATTTAGTGTAGATATAGTCTAGTAGTGGTATGCAAACACTGCTGGACTGTAGTACATGCAATGAGCATATATACGCTCATTGAGTACATCAGATAATTTCAGACTGTGATATATCTAAATTTAGTGTAGATATAGTCTAGTACTGGTATGCAAACACTGCTGGACTGTAGTACATGCAATGAGCATATATACGCTCATTGAGTACATCAGATAATTTCAGACTGTGATATATCTAAATTTAGTGTAGATATAGTCTAGTACTGGTATGCAAACACTGCTGGACTGTAGTACATGCAATGAGCATATATACGCTCATTGAGTACATCAGATAATTTCAGACTGTGATATATCTGAATTTAGTGTAGATATAGTCTAGTACTGGTATGCAAACACTGCTGGACTGTAGTACATGCAATGAGCATATATACGCTCATTGAGTACATCAGATAATTGCATCATGTATTCAAGGTATTAGTTAGTATTTAGTGGTATTTTTACACTCATACTGTTCCAAATATGATTTTCTTCCTCATTTTAGATAGTCTACTGTACCACAAAAGAAAACGGCAACGTTCCACCAACCCGACCTAACGAAGGCTCTAATTCCTGCTGCTATCAGTGCTATAAAATGGATTAAACAAGAAGACTTGAAGCGTAAAGGTATATGAGAATCATAATAGTTGCAAACACCTTAGATGGGCTATTCATATTGAAATACTTTAGCACTTTTCTGCAATCGGAACTGCCCATCAAACACATGTTGGAGACTTCATTGAGGTTTTCAATTCATTTTTTTCTCAACTATGAAGATCTTTTGAGGTTAACAAGGCATTAATAAATAAAGCTGAAGAATTTGTTTGTTCACTGTATGAAGAGGATATGAAGAATGTAAATGATACCAGGGCACGTCTATTTAACACTGGCAAACATAAGGATTATACTCTTCATCCAACAATGATTCACTGAAGAAGCATGTGGCCCTCAAATCAGTTCTTGAGTTGGCAAACTGCAAGTGTAAGAAAAATAGTCAAAATAATTTATGCAAGTGTGCCAAAATCAACTTATATTGCACAGATTTTTGTTTTTGTATTGACTGCAAAAATCACAGTACACCTATAGAGGAAAAGTCGATTTTCGAGATAGTGGATTTTGAAAACAATTCAGAAGAATGTGAATTAGATATTGCAGTTGATTTAATAAGTATCATTTATTTGTTTTTTTTTGGACATTTGTTAGTGTGTAGTCGTGTTTCTAGAAATAATATTGTCTTTGTTCAAATACATAACCACATAAACTAAAAAAAGACTAATTGTAGTATTTCTGTTCACTATGTTATGTACATATTGTACATTCATTTAATTTTCTTGACTTTTCCGGTATATTTCTAAGTGAGAAATAACTGATTTATTTGTGTTTTCGTGCTCACGATGTTAATTTGTGACTTCATTGCTTGAAAATAAATAAGTTTGATAGCTTCTATAAAATGGATGTAGCTTTTTATGCTGTTCTTGTTGTAAACTGCATTACATAAAATTTATTCGCTAATGTGAATCAGCGTTGTTGGTGTCGCTGCTTGAAGACCTTTCGAGGTCACTCGCGACTCCTGTCACACAATTAAAGTATTTTTTGTTGTTGGTTACATGTATGTCCTATTTTTCGTAATCTACCTAATAAATTATGTTTGACTGAGAAAGTCTGATTTTGGTCAGGCAAAACATTACAGGAATACATTTGTGTTAGTATGCTGTAGGGCTCTCGAATTGCATAGTTCTTATGTATGTGTTGTAAACTTATGGTTATTGAATTTTCCGGGAACCTCTTATATTTAATTTCGCATCAGGATTGTGGAACAAGCTGTAATTCGTTCAGTATGTTCATTTTCACACAAAACTGAAGAATTTATTTAGTGACCAGATGTGCGCTCATTTTCTGGGCGTTTTCAAGGCTTCGTCTCACAGCCAATATCCGTGGTAAGGATCTACAAGTGTTTAATAACTTACTTATACTTTTTAACGACGTCTTGGCATAACTTAACTAATAATAACTAAACAAGGCTATGAAAAGGCTGCTCAACTCAACACAAGATCGAGCAGTAATAACTAAGATTCATCCGCTCGCGAACAGCTGATTCGATTCAATTGTTACGTCATGCAGAAGTCATTGTTCATTGCCGGAAATGTAGAGAATATAGGACAGACAGTAGAACATATATTTTTTGTAGTAAAAGCGTCTTTTTCGTAAAACGTGCAATTTTTGGAAGTGGGAACAAGGCAATATTTGTTACTAAATTTTTAAGGAACATTTTAAAATCATTTTCAGGTAGTTACCTGATGTGCGCTACGAAACTCACTTTTTAGGCGTTTTTCAGGGCCTCGGCTCGCGGCCTACATGTACAACTTTCGTATTCTTTGTTGAAGATAAAGAGTCCACACATGTGAACACAGATTTTTTGCTCTTCCAACAATATTTCCACTTGAACCACACATGTACGGATTGTCTCACATTTTTACCGTTTCATACAAACATATTCTGTATGACTCAAACTTGTCTCGCATTTGTCTTGTTTTTCTCACACTCCATGGTTGTCTCACACTTATCTGCATGTCTTTGACTTGTTCAATCTATCTCAAATTTGTCTTGCTGTTTTTAACGCTTGAACATTACCTATATTCTTTGTCCCACGACTTTCCTGCTTGTCTCACATTTCTACTGCTTTTCCCAAATTTGTTATTTAAATTACTGAAGTTTTTCTCACAGATGCTTTGCTTGTCCTGTTTTGTTATGTTTGTCTCACACTTGTTCTGCTTGTTTCACAAATTTCTTGCTCATCTGCATTCCCTGCTTATCCTGCACTCGTCCTAATTTTTTTTTAGCTCATACAACAATAAATCTTCTTTTCTCACACTTGTCCTGCTTGCCACACCTTTCCCCTGTTAGTCACACACTTATCTTGTGTAGCGTACCGGCAATGTATGAAATAATTATCCAGGTTCAGAATATCTTCTAATATGATCTGACGTCAAGTTTCCCTCTCAATAGTCCAAGTCTTCATGCTATTTTATGTCATTTATTAACAACTCGAACAGTAAAAGATCCAAAACAACCAAACACTCACAAAGGAACGAAAAGCATAAAATAAAAATAACAGATACCAGGCAGTAAAATGCAAGAAAGACCACATACACAACAAAAACACTGACAAACCCTGAAATCCAAGACAACTCTGAATAAAAACCACATGACCCCTAGAATCTGGTACAATAAACTAGCTACTGCAATTTGCAAAACAGGCCGAAAGTAACT